CAAAGGAAGGTTTTGGCTCATATTTTGAGCCAAAACGCCAACACCGAGTACTTGAAACGACATGGGATGAAGGGGTGTGTTGATGTTAAGACATTTAAGAGCAATGTTCCAGTGGTGACATACGAGGATATTCAACCTGATATCCAACGTATTGTTAATGGGGATTTCTCCCCTATTCTTTGTGCCCAACCAATCACTGAATTTTTCACTAGGTAATTCTTTTTTCTTTTTTTTTTTTTTGAAGGGGGGAGATTTCACTAGGTAATTCTCTTATAATTGTTTTCTATTTACTCTGTGTTTACATATGAAGTACGGAGTAACTTAAACAGTTCTCATTGCTTGGATTTGTTAATTTTTATTTTACATTTTTAACAACTTTACAAGTGCACTATTAGTCTATCATCTTTAACTTTATTTATTTTTGGCACACACATTTTACAATATTTTCCTTCTCACACCATATTGTTTATAATTTTCAGTAATTTTATTTTTTTTACTCTTTCCATTTATTAAATGCATCGCTTGGATTTTACACTATTAATATTAGGGTAATGTTATATGTAGCCCTAAGGGCTATATATAAGCATTAAATATACTGTTGAAAATTGTATAAAATTAGGAATTCATAATTAAAAACACGCGTAAATCAGTGTTATTAGTGTTTATATTTTGATGATTTCTTGACTTTTAACAATCTTCAAGTGTAAATTTAATGCTTATATGTAGCCCTAAGGGCTAGTATAACATTTTCCTTAATATCACTATATCTTTGACTTAATTTTTTTACTAATACATAATAAATACTTGGTTATTACTGTAGCTCGGGTACTTCAGCAGGAGAGAAAAAACTGATACCAATGACTTCTGAGGAGATGGAACGTCGGTTGTTGTATTCCAGCATGTTCATGCAATCATGCCTATTATGAATCAGTAAGTTGGTAACCTTTATTGTTCAGCAGGAACCGTAAAAATTATGATTACGTCAAAATACAAGCTTAGATGAAATAAAATAAAATAAAATTTAAAAAAAAAAAAAAAAAAACGGTACACCAACTTCATTATGTAAACTTTGTATATAAAAAAACTTTTGATCATATATAGTTATTTATTTGGTTGAATTTGCATTAACAGATTTATGTCAGATCTTGACAAAGGAAAAGTCCTTTACTTCAAATTCATTAGGCCGGAAACAAAAACTCCAGGAGGTCTATTGGTTCAATCAGTTCTCACAAGCTACTACAAAAACAACTACCTTAAGAACCAACATTATGATGACCCTTATAACATTAATACTAGCCCTCATGAGGCGATAGTTTGCCTCGACTATTTCCAGTCTATGTACACACAAATGTTATGTGGGCTATACAATCGCCACGAGGTGCTCCGCATAGGAGCCGCCTTTGCATCCGGCCTCCTCCGGGCCATCCGCTTCCTCCAAGTCCACTTTACTGACCTTTGTCACGACATCAACACTGGAACCCTAAGCTCGATAATCACTAACTTGGGCATACGGACTTGTATGAGTAAAATCATGAGGCCTGACCCGGAACTTGCGGAATTCATTGTCCATGCATGTAAGGATGATAATTGGGAAGGGATAATTAAAAGGATTTGGCCAAATACAAAGTACTTAGACGTGATTGTGACGGGTTCCATGGCTCAACATATACCTACATTGGATTACTATAGTGGTGGCCTACATAAGGTTAGTAATAGGTACATTTCCTCGGAGTGTTTCTTTGGACCTAACTTAAACCCAATGTGTGCCCCCTTGGAAGTGTCCTATACTATATTGCCTAACACATCATTTTTTGAGTTTATCCCACTTGATAACGCGGCTAATCAAATCGTCGACTTGGCTGACGTGGAGGTCGGAAAGGAGTATGAGATTGTAGTCACCACACAAGCAGGATTGTATAGGTATTTGTTGGTATTGATACTGTTGGATAGTATAATGATAATGGTAGTCTTTTCAGGATGTTATTTTTATTTTTTTGGCAACATATTGTTTATAATTTCTATACCTACTACTTTTGAAATTATAGGTACAAAGTTGGGGACGTGCTATACGTGACAGGGTTCCACAACTCAACTCCACAATTAAGGTTTATTAGGAGGAAGAATGTTCTACTTAGTATCGACATGGATAAGACAGATGAATTCGAGTTGCAAAATGCAGTTGAGAGTGCATCAACTTTGCTTAAACCCTTCAATACAAGAGTTGTTGACTACACAAGTTATGCAGACACCAAAACTATACCGGGACATTATGTCATTTATTGGGAGCTTTTAACTAATGACACCTCGAGTGGGTTAGATCATGAGGTGTTGGGTCAATGCGCTCTAGCAATAGAGCAAGCCCTTAACTCGGTATACCGACAGATTCGCGCTGATGATCGGTCAATTGGGGCACTTGAGATACGAGTAGTGAAGAAGGGAACATTTGAGAAGTTGATGGACTATGCAATATCAAGAGGAGCATCTATTGACCAGTATAAAGTACCTAGGTGTGTGAATGTCATGCCTATTGTGAAGTTGTTGGACTCCAATGTAGTTATGGCTCAATTTAGCCCTTCTATGCCCCACTGGAGCCCATAAAACAATCCCTTTAAGCCCATTGAAATTATGATGTTAGTGGACTGGGCTATCGGTTGCACGCGTTGTGTGACTTGTACCCAAGTTGAAAGCTGAAATACTCACTAAACACTATAAATTTCTTTGTAATTGGTTTCTTTGTACTTTTAGATAAATTTATTAGATGAATCTTGAAATAATTGAAAAATCAAAACAAATACATTTATTGAGTAATGAAATTAAAACATTTATATTGTTTGTTGTATGCATAATACATATAGCCAAAAACCTCACAATAGGATATTGGGCTAGAAGTGTCTATTGTCGATACAGTGGCTTAAATTGTCATTTACTTTCATGCATGTTTTAATTTTTGCTTAATCTTGGAGATTTGTGCTTAAAGATGTCCAGTTATCTTTTTGATTGGTAGGCCCAAAAAATGATCAATGAGAAGTTTTATCCAATTAAATGCGCTTAGAAAGCCCAAGATTCAAATATACCCAGCTTGGAATTTGTTTATTTATAATGCAGTCCATTAAAATTGTTAAAATATGCCTTAAATCAATTTGATGCATTTTAACAAATTTGATGAATCAATTTGCTCTATACAAACAATCCAACATATTATTTGTTACTTCATATTTCATATGTGTTGGACTAATTGATTTTGATGATGACACAACCGCACTTACTTACAAACTAATAAGTGCTTGATTGTTTAAGTGTGTACTCAGTTACAAAGACTAGGAGAATGAAGTGTCTTGTAAAAATACCATGAGGAACAAGAAGGCCAGAAGCAGAGCTATCCAAATAGAAGAGTTCCCTCACAGGAACTGGCGCTTCAGAAATGAAGACTAGAGAAGAGATGGTTCCCTCAGGGAACAGAAGCTTCAGAGAAGAAGCCTCATCAAGAGAAGAGAAGTTCCTCCCAAGGAACAGAAGCCTCGAAATAGAAGCCTCATCAGAGAACATGAAGAATAAAATATATTTTATATTCTAGGATTTATGTAAGTATAAGAGATTAATTGGCACTCGAAAAATATGTGTGGAATTGGTCTAAAAGATAAAATATGTGCATGCTAGTTTTTAGGAAAACTGTTATCATTTAAACGTTTATCTTTTTCTCAAATTAAAAAGATTTTATTTTATTCCTTTTTCTGATTTTTGGAAAATATCTTTAACAAAATAAAATCTCCCATGTTTTCCAAAACTTGCGGCCTACTCTCCCATATTCTTTTTCAGTCATGATTTTGCACATTGAGGAGTTCATGGTTCCTTAATTCAAGGGACATGATCTTCTTAGTGGGTATGAGTAGTGGCGTGATGGATTTGCTGCACAAAGAGGTTTTTCCAATGCGTTTATTGCTCTATAAATAGTCATTGAAATCTGATGGAAAAACTCACCCTTGCTCACATAAGTTTTCAAGCTTCAAATTGAGTCAACTGTCAATTCCACACAAGTTCATTAGAGTGCTCTTAATGTTCTTATACTAGAGTTTGTTTACTTTTCGAGTTGTAATTTGGGGAATGGGGAAGTTCGAGTGAACGTTTGTGTATGAGAAAGAGAAGTGAGAAAGAGAAGAGAAAGAGAAGAGAGAACATAGAAGTGAGAACAGAGAAAGAGTAGAGAAGAGTAACAAGTTGGGTGACTTGTTCCTCAGGGTCTCAAGTTCGTAGAGGAACTTGAGTTTGAGTCGTTAACTTGTAATAGGATCATTTGCCCTATTATAGTGAAGATTCTTTTCCCAAAATCCCAAGTGGTCGTGGTTTTTCTCCTTGTTAGGGCCAAGGAGTTTTCCACGTAAAATCTCTCTTGCATTCTTTAGTTCCTTTAGTTAATCTTTCAGTTCCTTTAGCTAACTTAATTTTAATTCCGCAAAAAGTTTGGCTAATCTCTCATACTACAATTCAACCCCCCCTTCTTGTAGTATTCTTTAAAACAACAATATGTTTGAGCTATGATTTATAAATTGGTCTTATTTTCGAAGCCTCTTTCATCTTTGTTTTGGGAGTATTGTGCCTAATCTTATTTGTGTGAGAAATAAAAATTCCACTCATTTGCAATTGCTAGTAAAAATGTTGCTTACACAGTGAATTACATAAACACGGATTTTAATTTTACTATTTAAAATGTATTTCATTAGTCTTTCTTGTATTCGTCACAATATTTTTTAAGGTAAATTTAACCAAGTCCGACACTCTGACTAATTAACATTTCTCTTTAACTTACAAATTGTACAATTCCGAGCTCACCCACAATGATTGTTTTTTTTTTTTTTTTTTTTTTTTTGACAGACACAATGATTGTATTATTGTATGTACTAGTAATCTCGTATTATAGTATATGTATAATTGTATTACAGCAACATATAATGTTTTGTAGTGTCGGTATAACAACAAGAATTGGATTGCAAAAGGTGGGACCAAGGTTGCCCTGGATAAGGAGGCTCCAATTATAAGAAGCCATGTGCAAATGCAACCTACCATTCTTATGAAATACAAAATCAAATCAATTTCTTCTCTTAATAATTATTCTCTTAATCGCCCGCCATAATGCCTTGATAACATACTTGAAATTATATTAACTACCAGTCTTACCCACTTCAACTATCTTTCTTCTACACCTTTCTCTCTCTTTCCTTTTTTTTTTCTTCTTCTCTCAAATCTTCGTAAATTTATTGTTGCGAAAATTAATTATAAACGATTAGTAATGGATTAATTTTAAGACGCTAATCTTGAGATGATTCCCCTCATCTTTTGTTTAAGGTATGTATTTTTTTTTTTTTAAATTTGATTCTTTCTAGTTAATCCACTTTCCTTTGTTATATTTCTTTTGTTGTAGTGATTTTTATTTGATAATGTGACTTTACATGACCTAATTGTTCGTATCGATTATTTCATCAGTTATGTAAGTATTTGTTTGGGTGATATAAATGTATAGATACTAGAGATTTATAGGTAGCAAAAACATGTGTGAATTGTAAGTGTTTAGTTGATAAGAAAACATTTAAATTTCAGATGAAGTTTAAAGTAAGACCGCGAGATAAGTGGAAGTTCTACTACCCAAGTTCAATCAAACAATTTTATTGCACTTTTTAAGGGAAACAAACCTATTTATTACGGAGTAGTATGCAATATATTGCGTTATACCAATCAAACAATAAAAATAACATTTGTATATATATTGGATAGCAGAGTTAGATTGAAATCGTGAAATACAATATGTAAGGTAGAAAGTGAATGACGTAAAGTAAATTGTTATCCTAATAGAGCATAGTTAATGGGCCCTAAATACTCCGTAATGATGTTTGCTTGACGTTGAAGACAGGAGCTGAAAATAAAAGCAAGATTTTATACTAAAAGAAAAGAAAAGTAAAAAATGGAAAATAAGCATTTTTTTAGGCAATTAAGGAAATATAAGCAACTGTATCAAATACATAATACTCCGTACTAATTGCTTATATTTCAATTCCTAAAAGAAATGTTCATATTTCTATTTTTTGGGCCTTAAAAATCTGGCAAGATGGCAAAAATTGAGCGATTTCCTCATATGATACTTTATTGTTTTCAATACGCGTACATGTGTACATCACTTTCAAAAATATTTCTCTGCTTATCTTCCATGTTTAAATTGGTTCACAAATTTAAATCAGTTGAGTTAGTAACTTTGTGTAGTTGTTCTCAATGAAAATTTCAAATCTCTTACTCTATCAAGGCATTTATCCATAAGTTTAACGTGTTATGATGAAGAGCTGCACAAGCTAAGGTCAATCAGTAATTTTGATTTTTTCATTTTAAGTTGTAAACTTTTAACTTTTACAGTAATATGTTTAGAGAAATTCAAGGTACTCCGTACTTAAATTTATTACTCCATAGGTACTAGTACCTTGAGCAGGGCACGCATTTATTACTTGTAGAAAATAATTATGGAGTACGTGTTTTATATTTATGATTTAACTGTAATTTTTATGATTGTCTTTTTCATATGCATGTTTCCAGGACAATCCTTGGACTGTGACATTAATACGAAGCAAACACAAGAAGTTATGTTGGACTGTTCTATTGAGGTAAGCACTCTTTGGCAATATGCTCGCCTCATATACGGAGTACATATTAAGGTTTTAATTTGGGCGTGTCCATCAATAAAATATCTGAGAGATTTTTCTATACAATTCATCTTAAAGATTTTTCACATACTTATTAACGATTACACCATGTGAGTGATGTGACTATGAAGTATGAACCCTACACAAAAAATTAGAGAATTTAGGAAATTTAATTAAATAAAAAAGAACTAAAGAATTTTAAAACTTAATTTATCTACAACGTCATGAATATCAAAAACTTTTTATATATCCGATGTACATGTACAATAATATTATTGTACATCGAGATAACTTTTTATTGAACTTATCAATTAAGGTAACTTTTAGACTTTTTTGATAAACTTTTATCAATATAGCATAAATAACTTTTATTTCACAAACCACAATTTTTTTTGTTTTTTAAAAATTCTTTCTCTCTATTCTCTTTCTCTCTCCTCTTTTTTTCTTCTTCAAACCAGAACCTTCATCTCATTTTCTCAGAGAACGTAACACAAATTTCGCAATCGTCATCAATAGTCGTCTTCATGGTTTGTTTGTCGATGGTTCGTTTGTCGGAAATAGTGGTTTCACTAGGAGGGTAGTGGTGGTTTGGTGACTCCGTCGTCGGAAAACAAGTTCAAAGTTTTTAAGGCCAAATTCAGCCATGAAAACTCTAGATCTAGAATTTTCATGGTCAAATTTGGCCTTTTTAGCCATATTTGAATTGATATTCGAAACCATTGTTAAAATTTTAAGGTATTTGTTTGATTTGTTTTTTTTTTAATGGTTTGGTTGGATCGGAGTTTATTTGTGGGTTAGGGGCTAGTGGCAAGGCGTTTAGGTTAGTATTGGTTTGTTGGTGGTGGTTGTTGGTGGTAGTTTTTTGTTGGTGGTGGGTAAGGGGTTACTAGATCCGTTTAGGGGTTACTAGGTGGTTCGGTTAGGGGTTACTAGGTCGGGGTCAGGGGTTACTTGGGGTTACTAGGTAGGGGGTTACTAGGTCGGTTAGGGGTTACTTCGGGTTACTAGGTCGGCGACCAGGGGTTACTTGGGGTTACTAGGTCGGTTAGGGGTTACTACGGGTTACTAAGTCGGTTAGGGGTTACTAGGTCGATTAGGGGTTACTTGGGGTTACTAGGTCGGTTAGGGGTTACCAAGTCGGTTAGGGTTACTTGGGGTTACTAGGTCGGGAGTTACCAGGTCGGTTACGGGTTACTTGGGGTTACTAGGTCAGTCAGGGGTTACTTGGTCAAGGGTTACTAAGTCAGTTAGGGGTTACTTTTGTCTTGGGGTTACTTTGTCTGGGGGTTACTTTGTCATTTGCTAATTTGACAACCTGCCGCATGGTGCGGCCAGCCGCACCAGAAACCCACTGCTTTTATTTATATCAGGGTAAATTTCATTCATTACAAGGTACATACTCCGTAACTTTTAATCATTTTAAGATAACTTTATATTAGATGTACAATATTTTTTTTTGCATTAGAATCTTTTACATGTTTGTCCATGAATATACAACGATTGCATAGGATATTTTTTGTATTTCATCTCTTATTTTTCTCCTTTTTTAAAAAAAATAAAAAAATAAATTCTTTTTTCTTTATTTATTTATTCATTTATTTTCATCTTTCATTGGAACCCATCTTCATTTATGTTACCGTATCCAAATTAAAGTATTTATATTCATCTGACCATGTCAGACTGGAGGGGGGTAATAACTTTGATAACTTTAAGGCAAAAATCTTATGGTTTGTTTAGTACGGACTATCCTCATCAGTTTGTGTTTCGGGTGAAAACAATGGGACCTTGCCGAAGGTCCGCTGAAACGGAGAACACTAGATTCGGTCCAAGTTATGTTGGGCCGAAGGTTTCCTGCACAGTAAACACACGTAAACTAGCCTCGGGGGTGTTGCCGAGGAAGGCCCCTCCGATGCTAAAGTCAGTACAATGTGTAGAAAGAGAACACTATGCAAGAGAATTAGTTGCTTGAGGCTTTTCTTGAGTATATGAGAATATATGAGAATGTATGGGAATCTATGAGAATATGTGAATGAATGTGTATCTCTGAGAATATGTGAATGAATGTGAATCTCCCTTAAAAATGTAATATTGATGGCTTTTATACCTCTTCATACATGGAGAAGTTGGGCCTTAGCCCAATTGGCTTGCTGAGAGGGCTGATATTTGACTTTAGCACAATTGGAGAGTTGAACCTTGACCTTGGGCTTTTAATTGGATCATTTAATGCCTAGGCCCAATTGGACTAAATTGGACCCAAACAACTTGCCCCCCAGACCCGATTTGGAAGGATGACGGGTCGGGTTTGATATAATCAGAAAAGGAGGGAAGTGAATGATTTAATTAATCCAAATATTTGAATTTAAACCGTAATTAATGAGATAACAACGGTTAAGGCGGATGATTGTGGAAGTTGGACGGATAATGGGCAGTTTAATCACAAGGTCGTGTGTTTAACGGTTACTTAGTGGGGTATTTAAGAGAAATTGAAACGCGGACTCCCCGTATTCCCATTTCTGGAGATATAATCAGAGGCGCGTCATTTCTCCTCACTTATTCACCAACACAAACCCAGAATTCTCGAGAGAACCCAAGAACCCGCATCAAAACTTCGCAAATTCCCCGAGCATTAAGCTTAGAAACTGAGACTTGCCACTACGAACTCGTAAATCGGCAACTTTCGCTTCAGATTAAGGTAAATTCCTTTGATTTCAGTTTATTTTTCTTCGAATTCGAACTCCTTCCCTTTTTTTTGACTTTTTTCTTCGAAATAATCAATGGCAAGAGGAGTTAGAGGTAGAGCCCGTGCTCCAAGAAGAGCAAGGCCAATTCCCGATCCTAGGAACAGGATTGGGACCTGGAATGGACGAAGGCCAGAGTCTGACCCTGCCGAAGGGATTAGGGCGACCCCAATTTCCTCGGCTCCTCCTCAGAGAACGGAGGGGCCGAGCGCTTCTGGACGGGACGATGAAGTTCCCGCTGTCCTTTGGGATATCCTCCCCGGGTTTTCAGAGTGGGAGAATGCCGAAGTAGCTTCGGCCATGATAAAGAACCGCCCCTACTCATGGTGGGTGGAGAATGCCGAACAATATCGGTTTGCCGAGCAAATTGAGTTGCATTACGGCATTTTTGAAGCTAATGGGTATTGGTGCCGAATGCCCGTGGCATCCGATAGAATCCATCGTCCGCCCCCGGGGTACGTGGGGGTGTACACAAGACAGCTTCAGTATGGGCTGAGGTTCCCTTTGGACGTATTCGTCCGAGACTTGCTGATCCATTACAATATCTCCCTATGTCAGCTAACTCCCACCAGCATCCGAAGGGTGATGACATACTTATGGGTCTGCAAGTTCTTCAAGTATGTGCCGAACCTGCACTGCTTCAAAAAGCTTCATCGGCTAGTGCCAAATATTCAAAGTGGGCACGGAAGTCATGGTTCTGGGTGGTACCGAATTGAGTCTCGGCCCCAGTACCTAACCATGTGGCCGAACGACTCTTCAGACAAGGACTGGAGAGGTCAATGGATTTGGGTTAGGGCACCCACGGACCCGGGCCACCCTTGCGTCTTCAGCGCTCCCCGGTACCTTGCTGAGCCTGATCCCGACATGGGAAGTCTAGGTCCCCCCGCAGATAACGGGCCGGATCCAAACCTTGATCAACAAAATATCTTCGGCAAGCTGCCGAACTGGGGGGGCAGCGGCCGAATGCAGCATATCCCGGAGACTTGGCTCCCCGATACGCATTATGTTTTCCAAGAGAACATGCTAGCAGCTGTTGGCCTCAGCCGAAAGTTTAAGGATGGTAAGCTTCTTCGGCTGGGGACGAGGCTTTTTAATTATCTCTTTTTCTCCTCACTTCGCTTTTTTATGCTGTGCCAACCTAACTGAACTGACCTTTCCCCTTTTCTTTTTCAGAACGGGACGAGACCAATGTTGGCATTAACTACGCTCGTCTTGGCGTCAACCGAGAACGAGTTGTAACTGATCGGGCCCCGTCTATCACTGAACCGAGGCATAGGAAAGTTCATCTAGACTCTTCCCACTTCCAAATTGAGGTTGTTGCTCTGTATCAGAGGCAGAAGCCTTGGTGGAAGAAGAGAGACCCCTGGTTTCAGCTGCTGGACGAAGAAGCTGAAGCTGCCCGTACAGCCGAAGAGGTTGCACGGGTTCTCAAAGCTTGCGAAGGAGGAGAAGGGTCCTCCAGAGCTGCTGAAGAAGAAGCTGCAGCTAGGGCAGCTGAAGAAGACGAGGCTTTGCTGAAGACCTCGGTGAGCTTTCAGACTTAACTTTGTCTTTCTTTTTTTTTTTTTTTTTTTTTTTGTACTCATATTCTTCCTCCCCCCTGTCTGTTACAGTCTGAAGAGAGTAACAGACACAGAGAAGGGAAAGCCCCTGTTCGTCCCGAAGACCAAATACAAGAAGAGTCTTCAGACTCAGACATGGACGAGCAACCCCTTCAGAAAAGGCGCCGAAGAATGGCCATCATCGGCCCTCATGACTTTCAGCGGAGGCCGATGACCATCGGCGTTGAAATAAGGGAACCCGAGGAAGGCAATGGATCGCCGAGGGTTCCCCGGCCACCACCCCAATCACCTCAAAAGACCCCTTTGCCACCTCCTGAGATGGAGGTGGATCAGAGAACTCCCAAATCTAAGGGAGGGGTCCAAGAAGAAGTTCAGGAGAGTGCTGCTGAGCACAAAAATAAGGATGCCGTGATGCCCAGTGCTGAGGGTTTCACGGCAGACATTGCAAGAGAGGTTAAGGCTTTCGTCCTCACCCCTGAAGAAGAAAAGGTCATAGTAATTGACTCTTCTGAGAAGGATGATGCTGAACCATCCAAAGCTAAAGAAGCTCCGTCATCATCCTTTCCTTCCTTCCAGACTCTGCAATCTGGAGAAATGGGTTTCTCGGCCCCCCGAATTCCAATCCCAGATCACATCTGGGACCTCATATGGGGTCAGAACCGAGAAGGTGCTGCAGCCTACTTCGGCGATTTTGCTGGCATGTCCGAAGTAGATAGGGAAAGAATCTGGTCGCTGAAGGCCACTGCTGGGATGGGCGAATCCAGCAGATCAGTTCCTGACCCAGCCAGGTCTAACCAACTGTTGATGATGCAGGTGATTTTCCTTACATTTATTTGCTTTAAAATTCAGCTCTATTTTTATATTATTTTTTTTAACTTGTGCTCCCGTTTTCAGTTCGTGCACAATCAGACTCTCACTGTAGAGCTGATAGATACCCTACAAGATAGGGTAGACGCTGCCGAGCACGACAAGAAGGTAGCTGAAGAGGAATTAAAGCTTGCTAAGCTGAAGCAAGCAACAACTGAAGAGAAGCAGCAGAAGGGTGAGGAATATGAGAAAAAAGCTGCTGAAGCCCTCAAAACCTTCTGCGACGCTATGGAGAAGGAAGTTTTTCCCCCACTGATGGAAAGGACGTCTCCAAATTCAAGGCTGCCATTGAGAGCCGAATCCAGGAAGGGGCTGCTGCACAAGCTGAAGTGCAGCAACGGCTAGAAGCTCTTGAAGCCAGCAGAATGGCTGCTGAAGAGCTGCTCCAGGCCAGGGACGTCCAACTCTCAGAGGCTGCTGCTGCTGCTGAAGCTCAGAGAGCTAAGTTCCAAGAGGCTGAGGATCTGCTGATGGCCAAAAAAGAAGAAATGGCCCAGGCTCAGACAGAGGCTTACCAAGTTCAGCAGGAGCTGAATGAGCTGAAAGGTTCCTCCTCCAAGCTCGCCGATGAGCTGAAGAAATCCAAGGAAGACTTGGAGGAGACCCAGAAGAAGTTGGCTGATGCTGAGGCTCTACTCAAAGTTCGTGTCTATACCCAGGAAGAATATGAAATGGGTTTCAGAAACGGGTTCAGAGTATGCCGAAGAGTCTGCCTTCATGCTGAGCCGAAGCTGGACTGGTCCAAATGTGCTGAATGGGTCCAGAATCCCGAAGACCCTCATATGAAGTATGCAACTCCAGTCGAAGCTGAAATTCTTAAGGCTGAGGAAGCCGAAGAAGAAGCTGAGAGAATGGAGTTGGAGGCTGAACAGAGGGAAAGGGAGGCTCGGCAGAGTGCAAAGCCTGCTTCTTCTGCTGCTGGGGTTGAGGCCACCATGGGGCTCAACAATGCTGATCAGTCTGATCCTGGGGCTGAAGCATAGGAACTCGGGCAGTCGT